GGCGGCGGGGCGGCCTGGCCTGTGAGACCCAGAGAGGGGGCGGCGGAGGCGGGCAGCGAGTGGCGGAGGATGAGCCTGCTGTGCGCTCAGTACCTCCGGTGAGCGGGGGCAGGGGTGTCCTGCGGGCGCTGCCCGGGCCCGGGGGAGGCCGAGCGGGCAGGGGGCGCTTCCCACCCCGGCGCAGGGCCCCGCGCGGGCGGGGGTCTGCTCCCGGCCAGGAAGGAGCCGGGGACGCCGCCACCCCCCGGGAGGAAGGGCTGGGGGTTGGCAGGGAGCAGTGTACTGGTCCCAGGGGCGAGACGTGGGAGAGTTGCCTTCTTCACATGAGGCAGCTGCGGCTGCCTGTGGCCAGGAAGTGTCTCAGCTCTTTAGGCAAGGTCAAGCACTGTCGTGTGGTGGGAAGGGGGTTACTTTCCTCCTGTCACGATGTTAAGAGTGGGTGCAGTGCCCTGCTGGAGTTTGGCCACTCAGTGGGCCTACATGTGACCCCCCAGCGCCAAGCAAAACCCCATGCATGTCTGCCGAGTGCTCTGGATGACTGGGGTAAGAAAGGCAAGTGAGCAGCAGTCGTTGGACTGCCAAAAGCTCCCACGGTCCCACCTGAGCTTGCAGAGCTGTGCAGGTTTTCTTTGTCAGAGCCTGTCAGGTTGCGAGAACATGGGCCCCGAGGACGAAGCTCCTGGTCGAGTGGTTCATAGGATGAACAAGTTCTTGAAGTCTAGAAGGCGAAAAGTGCTAGATACCATTCTGGGCACTAACGGGGCCTGCTCCTTCGGCTCTGAATCCTCATTTCTCCTTTTGGGGAGGACCAGATATGACAACATGCACCATTCTCAGTAAAACTCTAGGCAAGGAAGGATTTGGTACCAGTGACTGTGCTAAAAGGAGATGCTCATCTCATCTGAAGTCTTGGAGACCGAAGTAAGAACCTCTGAGGAGGCAATGCAATTAATATGCTTTACTGTTCTGAAAGGCCTTCTGTCCAAGGCCTCCAGTTCAGTAATTTTGGCTGTTGCCCCCACACTATTAATTCCCAAATCTCTACCCTTCTCTGTCCAGTCACATGTCTCTAGCTCCATCTGACTTCTCCTTGGTTGATCAGATGCAGTTTAAAATTCATTCATCCAAAGGCAAATTTCTTACGTTTACTCTGTTGCTTGTTTTGCTATTGACAATTCCCCTAACCACCTTGTCTCCCATGCCTATAATTGGTGTTGCATCTGATTTTGATTCTTCTTTTTTGACCCATCCCAACACTTTCTTTATTAATATTTATCACATCTATCCTTTCCTCGCTGTCTTCACCAGTGCTGACTGCCCTCCTTGCTGTTGAACTCTTTTATTTCAGCTATCCAAATCGTTACTGTTCAAGTTGCATTTGCTCAGTCAAAATCACTTGTTGTCTTCCTGTGCCCTCCCTTCATAAAATTGTTCTGTTAACGTTCTTTATCCTATCGCCCCAAGTTCAAGATCCTCTTCACCCAAATCTGTGCCCTTTCTTTTCATCAGGTCTTTGCTTATCTTTCCACTTATTTCCTAGCTTTGCCTTGTATACGAACAGCACCTAGCGTAATAGAACTGAGGAATCTTGAAATTAGTATAAAAATGTTTTGGAATGTTTCTTCTCTTTGCTGAAACCTTATCTTCTCTAAAAAAAAAAAAAAAAAAAAAAAAAAAAAAAATCACCTAAGAAGTTTCTTGTTGTTGGTATTCTTCACATTTCTCCCTCACCACAACCATTCTTTGTCTTTTTATTAATCTACTTGGATAGTACGTTTTTGGGACAGAGAAATTGTGAGATCCACAGCTGTAAAGTGTTTTTTCTGAAAAATATTGGCGAAACTGGGGAATTGACAGTTTACTTGTGGATTACTGGGGCCCAGTACTGTTCAGGTAACAAGTTGGGAACAAAGCCCAGGAATCTTAATTTATGTTTTACTAGGCCTGGACTTTAGGAAGAGGGCTATCTTTTCTCTTATGGTGACATAAGAATTAAGTTAAATCCACTGATGGGAGAATAAATGTGCTTAAGGATGTTGGTGCATAAGGATAGGTAACAACAAAGCTGATCAGCTGCTTTACAATATATGAAGGAGACCTGAAAGACTTTTGTGAAGTGGGTTTTTTTCCGTATTTTTTAGATGGGACATTCAGGTCTCTTCTATCCAAGATGGCCCTATAATAATTGGAGAAGTAGTGAAGTAATGGCTTTGTGAGAACAGGGAGGCTGAAAGAAGAACTAATAAGGGAATAGATTTTAATTCTCTAACCTTCATTATGCATTTAATTTCATTATAGAGCATTTAGGGTAAAGGGTGTCTTTAAAGATTTAAGACTCTTTTCTATCAACATGTAAGAGCTGACAAACTTCTGAAACTCCTACAGAAACATCCTAGCAAAATTGTGGGAGGTTACACTTCGTATGTTTGATCTTTCTGAGAGAGTGAGAAGCAAGGAGGAAAAAAAAGCACTTGTAGGTCAGTATGAAGGATAAAGATGTAAAAAAGGCAAAACACCAGTTCTTCAAATATCCTTTGCAGATCATCTTTAAGGATAGTTGATTCTTTTACATAGGTTCTTGTAGACTTACGTGTCTGTTGCTGCTGGATTCACTCTTGCTGTAATGCACTCTGTTCTATTTGCATTTATGGACAAATAAGGAAAATATCAGAAATGCTGGTCATGGTTTTGTGTGAAGTCTGGTGAGAGGAATAGGAAGGTAAGAGATTGAAGCCATAATTACATTCAGGCATTTGAGACCTCTTTCTCATTAATGTTTTTTCAGGAATTGTAGTCCACATGGCTTGTCAGTTCAGAGGAAAGCAGTGCCTAGGGTATGTCTTGTGAATCAAAGCATTTTTTATTTGGATATCTCTCACTCTCAGGTTATTTTGGGAATCCCCAGGTACTTGCCCCACAGCTAGTTGTTAATCTTACAGGAACAGACTTGTCTATATTTGAATGTCTCTTGTGTATCCTGCTGCAGGTGGAAGAGATGCCTAAAAAAAAACCCACTCCCAGCTGCATAATCTCTGATGAGGAACTACATGGAGAACAGTCTCCAAAGCTCACTGTCACTTCATCCCTCTTTTAAAAGACACTAGTAGGGGAGGTCAGGGTCAGGATGGAGGAAATGCTGAGTGTATATTTGAAGTAACTTCACATACACGCAGGCTGTGATTCTGTAAGGAATTATGTATATGCTTAATTTCATGCTCAGCAAGCATCGACTTCATTACAATTTTTTGCTGTACATAAAGCTAAACATGTGCATTATATCTTACAAGATTTGTTCCCATTTCCAATATTATTGGTGATTTGCCAAAAGGAGCTTGGTGTATCTTTCTGGACTTGGGGGTGGGCCAAGCAGGTAGTTTGGGAGGAAAAAAATAAAAATGTAAAAAGCCACCCAGAAAAACCCACAAGCATGGAAGCAAATTTGATGTGAAATTAGTGGATGTCATGATGCCATTTTAAGTAGCATTTAGGATGGAACTGAGCTTCAATAGAAACCTTAATGTTTCTCTTTATTTCATCTCTCTTCATAGAAGACGAAGTTCACTCTTTCCTTTCATGTCTGTATTGAGGGAATAATTGCATAAATGTTAAATAATAAATCTGTTAGTACCCTGAAGCTGTAATTCAGGTGTATTTCATGAAAGTGAGGACTTCAGTTCTTAGCTAAATGTACTATTACTCTTATTAGACCACAGCATCTAGGACTTTGGTAATTCAATTACCTTTTAATTTTATGCTTACACTTAGAAATTGTAGTGCTAAGAAATCAGTAGGTAGCTTCTTTAGGTTCTTTAAATTCAAACTGTGGATCTGTCTTTGTAGAAAGGCTAATGTCCCTTTTACATATGCCCTATTTCTTCTCTTGACTGCCTCTTTGCTGTCTCCCTCTCATCTGTTCAATGGCACATTTAATCACTTCTTCAGTGTTACCAGAGTAGCCGTACCTAGCCTTGTAGCACAAGATTCTGATAAAGCCCAATTAGACCATAACCAATAAAGGCACTCACAGTGCTGCTCGAATCTAAGGCAGGAGGTGGGCAATTATTTGGCTTGAGGGCCACTTAAGGAGTTTTGGTGAGCTGTTGAGGTCCTGGTAGGGGGTTGCTGTAGAGATGCCAGTGAATCCCATCTAGCCCACTGACTACCACCAAGAGCCTGAGAAGGGAGGGCTGCACCTCATACTACTCCAGTCTGTCACAGCTGGACCAGGCTGGACCTCACAGCACACAGACTCCTCCGCACCTCCATATCCATTGCTCCCCAGCTTCCTGTTGTTGCTGTGTAGTCCTAGCATTGTGGCCACCAGCAGCTGGGCCTGCACAAGATGGGCTGTGATGCAGCATGCCAAGTAGCTGTCCCACCTGCTGCTATTAGCTTATGCTGTTGGGAAAGTTGGGGCCAGCTGCCTGGGTTGAGTGCCCCCCCCCCCCACTGGCATAGACTCATTTTGTCAGGTGCTCATGTCTGTGGCTCATTTTGGCAGGTGGGTGGACCTGGTTGCCAGTGGGTATGGTGCCAGGACTGTGTAGCCTGTGCAACCACAGGGCCAGCTGGTGGGGGAGGGAGGGGAGGTGGAGGTGTGGAGTCTGCACTGCCTGACCTGGCTCAGCTCTGACTGTGGCAGAGGGAATGGTGTGAGGCACAGCCCTCCCTTCTTAGCTCCTTAGCAGTGGCTGGAAGGCTGGATAGGATGAATTGGCAGGCTGGATATGGGTCGTGGTCCATATTTTACCCACCCCTGATCCACGGGCTGACCACAAGGTACCAGGTGCTCATAACTATCTAAGGATGAAAACACACTGAGAAAAGCTAATATTACATTTTTAAGTATAATCTTGCTGTTAACACAGGACTCTGTAAAACACTACTATTTATTGTTTGTTTGTCTTGATGTCTGAAATAAGTAAACACCAGTCCTATTTCCCACAGCTTTATAAGGTCTTCAAATTAGTTGTATAGCTATTCTACAGAAAGGAGAGTAAAGAATAGTTCAAAAGATCTGAATGGGCTTCTTTAAGAAAGTTGTTATAAGGTGCTGTCTTTGGAGGGGAATCATCTCTTCTTGCTTCCATCTTTTTCA